AAATCTCGTCCATAAATCGTTTTAAATCGAACAAACATCGCGAATAATCACAAATTGTATTTTTCGAAGCAAAATAATAACAATTTATTAAATTATATCTTTCAAAAATTTATATTTATTATAAATTTATCAATATAATAAACGTTACACCTCTATTGCGAGCCACAAATTGAACTTGGCTCTTAACTGGGCCTCTTCGAATATCAAAATGTACGTTTAAAAAAAAAAAAAAAAGTAAAAACGTATACACGTTCGTTTTTAAAATTTACGCTTAATCACTTTTCACGGTGTCCAAATATGGTGCATAACAGCGTAGTAATAGGTTGAGAGCAGCACGGGATACGTGCTGATTTATGGACACGAGTGTACGCGCGTTTTATCGACCGTTTAAGCATTCGGATTTAAACGACGAATAATATCACGATTTTCGCGTATTCGTAACGGTGCCAAATGTTCCCTCGAAATGTTTCCTGGCGAAATATCACGAGGGATCGCAATATCGGTTAACTGTCAGTGTATAGAGCGTGTTCGAGATCCGTCCCTCTTAAATTCATCCTCCGTGGATCCTCGTCGGTTTTGGTTACGACTCGAGATGCGTTTGATACGATACTTGGTAAGTTAAGTGCGTTATGAATTTTCCAAGATGAAAATTCTCCGCGAATAAGTTTCGAGAGACGTAAAATGGAAAATTCGAAGTTTCGAAATTCGGAAACGAAAAATGATTAAAAGAAGATCTTTAGAAGATTGTTGATCCGAACTTCGAATTTATTCTCACCTCGATCGAATCATTTCGAATCTTGGATTGGATTCTTTCGATTTAACAATTTGTTCTCATATCGAAGCGTATCGACTCGTCAATTTGATTCATCGAGATCTCGGTGTCGTCGAGTTATTGTACGCGAGATATTTATCGTTTCGATATTTTTTCTTTCCTTTTCTCTTTTTTTCTCCTCCCCCAAATTTTTTCCAAATTGAAATCGTAAATATTTGCGCCGCAAACTTTACGATTAATCAATTTCGCCGCGATACGAATCGGACGATATCGTGAAAAGAGTAACGCAACAGGGCGATATTCGCGTAAAAATTTATCGAGCAAACATTCAGATTAATCAATAGAATCAATTTGCTCGCCTTTCTATTTGCTCATCAGTTTTCGATTGCCGCGCGAAATTTCGAGTCCCATTTTTCATAAAAATTTTCTTACCTTGTTGTATTCCAGGAGGGAGGGAAAAAAATCCTCCTGTTTATCACCGGTTTACCCCACCCGCACGTCCAAAGCACATAAACTATAAGAGAAATCAATAAACCTAAAGTCCATAATAACAGCGTATGAACTTAAAGTTGTTAAATTTCATAAGCCAGTGGTATAATTCTCGCACACAATTCCGTTTTATAGTTGTTTCCAAATGAAAGGGGAACAACTTTTAACTGTTTCCCCTCTCCTTAAAGCCGTACTCGTTGTTCAATTTTTAACGATAACTAGTTTAAAATTTTTCTCGCGATACGTATGCAAATACTATCGCCTCTAATTTAAACGTTCTGCCGGCATAATGAACGAAAGACACGTGTTCATGCCGGGGGACACATGGAACCCGTTGAATACGGAATCAACCTGAGCCGTCCATTATCACGATCGTCTCAATGAAAAGCGGCTAAACTGTTGCTCGTGCTGTAAGCAAGAATCGCTTCATACTAAGAAGACATTAAACGTATACATTGAAATAAACCACTCTGCGAAACGACAAATGATTGAAAACGTCGCGAGCTCTTTCTTCTCTCCAATCTCTTCGAAAAGGAATCTATGAGATTTCCATGATTCTTGTTTCTTCATCCATCGTGATTCTTTTTTTATAATCGAGTCGAGACCATAGATATCGAAATTGAAAGTTACAATCTTCATTGCCAATCGTTTTTTTTTTTTTTCGCTTCAATTAAACGCCTAGCGTTTTTCCGTGTCAAAGATCATTCTCCAAGTGTTTAAAGTGGACTGGATTTTTACTTCAAGAATTCGACAGGGATTTATATATATTGCGAAGGAAGGAACGAAGCGAGGATTGATGCAAGTTCGATTATGCGAACGACTAGTTCTTTTCTCTCTAATCGGTCCATCAAGTTGATCGAAAGTTTTCTCCTTGGAGACCCACCTTCTTCTCTTCCTTCAGCTTTTTCAGCTTTCGAAACACCTTTTCTTTCTCCCTCTCGTTTCGCCTATTCGTTACCTTTCTTCCTCTTTCATTCGTTCTGCAAGGAGGAAGAAGATCAAATAATGAGCGGCGTTAATCGACCGATTAAGAAGGAAGCAAGCGGATCGAAATGAAATTCTTGACACGAAACCGAACTAAATTGCCCTTTTCCAAACCGGTGTGGGACGATCGTGCTGATCACAGCGCTGATTCATCCTTACCCTCTTTTTCACCTCACGGCTGCTACTCTTTCTCCTCTTCCCCCTCCAACGTTTTAATTTCGTTTCCAATCGCTCTATCCTTGTTTTTCTTTCCTCTTACGACATTGACCGAATCGTATTCACCAAGATGAGGGCGCATACCTTTTCTTAAAACCATTCCAACGTACGTAGAAAAAAAAAATCAATGATTCCTCCACTCCTTAGTCGAACGTATAGACGTGGAGATATTATGCAGGGGGAGTGTGAATCTAATTAATTCCCGATTAGCGGATAATCGTGTATCCGTGCCAACCAATCGATAGACCGCAAACTCGAAGCGGAGTACACTTGCGAGTCGAGTCGCTGCAAAGGTCAATCTGGAGGAGGAGGGGGATTTGCGCGTGAAAATTCGGTGGACGTCGCTCGATTCCACCCTTGGGATCGGCCGATCGAAACGATCTTCTCGCGAAATTTGATCGTGAATGTTCGATGATTATTTTAATCGAACCATGGTTCCCAATGAGGAAAATTTTTCAACAATCTTCAACAAGATTCCATTTACGTTCTTCTGAAATTTTTATTCATTTTTGGTGTCGGTTTCTTCCTAGTTTTTTTTCGAGATGTAAAAGAAACATTTATAAAAGATATCCTTTTCTAAGTTTCCTTTTTATTTCTCTATGCTAAAAACAAATACAAAATGTCCCCAGTTCGATCAAATCAAATGTGTCAGTTTATTTATGGCTCACGAAACGTGTCCATGAACAGGAATATAAAACTTCTAAAAGTGAACGATCAACTTTCGAACGAATCTTAAAAAAGAAAAGATTCCAGTGCGTTGTTATTCTTTTAGTTGACGAAAAAAATAATTCACTGCGAGATTTTACCAATATTCCCCAATATTGTAAATAATCCTCGAGGTAGAAGAAAGCCCTCGTTTTACCTTGAACTCGAAATCCATCGATGCACGCATCCTTTTGTTCGGTTATCGTACACCGCTCTAATTATCGCAGTTCGTTAATTAAATCTCTCTCTTTCCGTTCTTTCTGTTCGTATAAACGAGGCAATGTCGTCCAAGTTTTCGAAAATACTGGGAATAACACACGGGATAAAGTTTCTCCTCGAGGAGAAGATTTCAAGGTTTGCAAACCCAACGGGATCTCGTTCCAATATTTCTCCTCGATTATTTTTCTGCAAGATATACATCCTCCATCGACTTGGCGAAAATTTCCACGCGAGTGACGTGCTCGTCGTAATTGGATAACGCGATTGATCGAGCTTCGAAGAGATGTGGAATTAGAACGACGTTTCGTACGTATTTATCGTGACCGGTTCACGAAAAATCACGTTGCAACGAATGGGTTTCTCCTGTCGCACGAGAAGTCGATCAAAAGTTTTTTGTTTAAATGCATAACGTTTAAAGATAATTGGGGAAGTTGGTTTAGTTTGGAAATGAGTTACTGGGTCGTTGGTATCCAGGTAACTTCGAATTGAAATTGGAAAGAGGGAATTATGGGAAGAGGAGAGGAGAATAAACGATGGACACGTTTTTGGCTGGTAGTGTACGATGCGTCGATAGAATGTAAGAAGCACCGTAAGCCTCCAAGATTTACAATCAGCTTGGAGACGGCGCCGAGTTAAAGCAATCCACAGTACAATCCGATCAACCGATTCGCTTAACGTTTAAAACAAAACCAAACGCGTATATTAACTCTAGAAACACACAACTTTTATATCATAATTAAAACGATGTAATAAAATACGTATTTATGCAATTTCTATAAATTAGAATAATTAAATTTTGTATCAGAAATATTTTCCATACCAAGCTCGATATCTTCTTTCATTGTACCTTCATCTTGAACGAATCAGAGAATCGAGCGAATCTTCTCGAAGGAAAAATTCCATTCACAATACGATCGATAAAATCGCGTTGGAAATTCGGAGAAAAGACGGGGGTGTGGAAGAAATCGAGCAAATCGAGGAGTATCGATCGATAAAGTTATTCCAATCGATCGAGAGATTCTCCACGAGAGAAATAAAGGGGGAAAAAAAAAGAAAGAGCAAAGAGTGTTTTCCCTACAACTACTCGATCAAACGAATATATCCACAAACCTTGGCCACTTGACGGGTGTGCACGACGGCTAGGGCGATCACTCGAGCCACTATCGCCACTTGCACGCACTCGAGATCATGCCAAATATCCGCACGAGTCCCCACTCGACCCATTACGAGTTTATTCGAGAGGGAAGGAAAGGCAGGGGGAGAGTTTATTATTTTTGCCTAGGGTAGACACGAGAGAAATAATTTCTGGTAACCTGATAGAAATGGGTTGGAATGTAGAGGATTCGACACTTGTTTGTTGACTCGAAGAATCACGTTTCCTGTTGTTGGTTGACTTTTTTACCTATTTCCATTTTTATAAAAGTGGCGGAAAATTTATTTTCCTTTGTTGTCGCGTTCAAACATTTTTAACAATCTATTTCATCCCGGTTTAAAGAGGAATCGCTGGAAGGAACGTTTTCCCTTTCAACGGATCCCGGATATTTTTCAGAAGACACAAAATCTTGAGAACTCTTCTTCAACGAGAATTCCATCGTCTCTCAAAAATTTCTCAAAAATTCTCAAAAATTTCTGAATTACGATATCCATTGCCATCTCATTACAGAGCGATAACAAATCTCCGCCACGATACGCCCCAGGCATTTAATACCGTTTCCACGGAGTGTACGTATAATCCGCGGCGAGTTAAGGGGGTGGCTTATTATCGATTCGGCCCGAATGCGTGTACCAGAGCCCGTGAATCGTATCGTCGAATGGGATCATCTGCCCCCTACTCTTCTCAATCTAAACGTGTAAATGTAATTGAAACTCGCAGTTAACCGCGGCGATTCGATTTAAAACGAAAGTTAACTGAAACTTGATTTGGAAAGTTTGCGAACTTCGAGGATCGATTTCATTAGTTTCGAATTATAATATCGTCGATGTATTATTGTTTATTGTTATTTATCATCGAGCAAGATAGCATAAATCTCGCGATTCTTAAATGTTCCAGTGGAGCGTGGTTTAAAGGGTGTTATTCTCAGCTGTTGCCTCGCTTGCGTGTGTGTAAGTACACGGATATTGCGTGGATTTCGCGAAATTGCGTCTTTTTCGACCGTCGCATCGGGTGGAAAGCTTTTTTCGACTCGTTTAACGACGTTTCCCTCTGCGCCTCTAATTGAAAAACACCCACAACCCCTTTGCACGTGGCTCGCCAAGTTGGAAATTGAATTCGACGGATCGCTCGACGGCCTATTTTTAAAGGATTTAGGCCAAGCTTTGCGCAATCCCCGAGAAGAATCTTATTTATTTAATCATTTTAAGACTTAAAATAGGGGAGAGTTAGAGTCTCGAGGAGGAATAAGAATTTCCCGTCGCTCGAGGACCAATTTAGGTTACTCGAGTTCTCTATCTAGGCCGCGTTACTCGGAAAGAATATATTCTCGAAAATAGACGCCGAAAGTACCACCCCCTCCATTTTAGAATATCCACTTTAAAAATACATTCCCAACCAACTTTCTTTCTTTCTTTTCTTTTTGAGAGAAAAGAGGAATTCAAAAAAAGAAGAAATTTCGATCGACGAAACACGACACCCCAACCCACCCGGCTCAAATATTTGTCATCCCTATTTCGTGCATGCTCTTACAATAACCTTGCCATGAAATGGCTTGGCGGTGGTCCCTGAAAAAGGCACGCAAACAACGCTGACAAAGAAGCGAGCTGTCGTGCTTTAAAAACAGGGGACAGGGAAGAATCGTAAGCCGGGTTACCCGCAGGCGCAAACCTCTCTTTTCTTTCATCTCCCCACGTATCTCTCCACGTATTCTTCAAGACACACACGTGCATCATAGCGCATCCTCTTCAATAAAGCGTACCACCTATGACTATCACCGCTATCCGACTAGCCAACAGATTTTCAGGCCAGGAAAACGCTCGTGGAAGGGTTGGAGGATGCTAATCGACACCTTGACGAAGCTCAAGGAAGAGAAGATCAAGGAGGCTGACGTCACGCGACATTCATCTGGGTCAGGACAGGCTACGACCCAGTTGCAGAGCCTCAAACCTCTTTCTGCCGCTTGCACGCACACGCAAGTTTTCCAGAAAATGCATAGAAAATTGGGAGGGGAAGAAATCTCTCCGAGTAGAAATTTCATTGTCGTTCCGTGTCGCCACGGAAAATGGGAAATTGAATTCGCGAGATTCCTTTGAAACACGGATCCCTCCCTTTGTACTCTCCTCCTCCACTCGTTTCTCGTCACGCACGCTCGATAATAATTGTCAGACGTTGCTCAGTGTCGCCATTTAACAGCGCTCCGCTTTTGTTGTTTTCGAAAGATTCCGATCGAGAATTGGTGGAATTCTCCATCCCGATATCGAAAAAAAAAGAACCAATCCTTTCCGTGAAATCCGGAAACTGGCTCGGTTTTTCTCCGTTTTCTCGAATTTTTCACAGGATTTGTACATAGTTCAGAGAGGATTCTCTTTCGTTGTTCTTTTGTCGTTAAGTGAAATTGGAATTGGATACGGAGAGGGAGAGGGGAAAGTCGTGACAAAATAATCTGACAAATAATTATTAAGGGGGAGAGAAAGTTTACGATGTTGTTGGAAAGTGAGCGCGCCCATCGAGCAACGTTTAGGAAAGATGAGTCGATTGATACGAAAGGCGAGCGTTGTTGAGGCGCTCTTAGCAAAGAAAAGCTGTGAAAATATTCAGAGGGAGGAGAGGAGGTGATCGATTCATCGATTTCACACTCTAATCCAGCGGGCGTAATCTCATCCGGAGTTTTACAATGGCGGGGCCATCGATTTGCCCTCGAACAGGTCGCCCCCGTGTTGGTCGACACAAATGACTCACCCATTCGATCGTTGCTCTTTCTACGTCTTCCCTTTCGCGTTTTTTCCCTTGTCCCAGTTTCCCCAACTACAATTGGTCATCGTTGAAAATCGTTGCGAAATCCTTCCCACGAAATCGTCTCTCCTTCGTTCCTTTTTTCTTCTTTTTTGGCCAACTTAAAATCAAGAAAT